GAAAAGTAATAACTTAATATTTTGCAGGGTAAGTTAGCATTCTAAGATCTATCTTTGGAAGAGGACATAGCATTCGTAGTGACTGCAAGAGTGATGTATGCTATGAGTCGACAAGTGCCTTTGTATCGTCAATTATGTTTCGGACATGATATCCAATGTGCAGTGCTGGATGCTATATACAAAAATAATCATGATGAGCAAAAAGAAGAAGGAGAAGAATCTGAAGGTAGCAAAGAGAAAACAAATTAGGATACTGACTCTAACAGCGATAGTGAGGGAGGAGAATTTGCAGTTGAGCAACATCTAAACATAGGCCGAGACCTACATTTATACGGGGATGTAAATTTAAAAATTTTATAGAGAAAGTGCGGAAAAATAGTTAAATTTTTTAGGAAGTCACGCACCAGAAAAGCGATTCCTGATATTTATCTTCAAGAAGAGCAGAATAAAATGGGTATAGTGTGGTAAAATTAATCTTAGACTATAAAAACAGGTGGAGCAGTTTTGCCGATATGTTCACAAGATTTTTGGCATTAAAAGACCCTATTTTAAAGATACCACGTTTAGTTTAGGTGAGCTAGCTTTGCTGCAGGAATTGTCCACTTCTTTGAATATTGTAAAGGCAACAGTAGAGGCGCTGTGCCAAGAAAATTCAAATCTGTTTCTGCAGAAACAGCCCTTCAATTTATGGTTGCAAAACTTGAAAAGGCGAACAGATTTATTAGTGACAGGCTACTCGAAGCTCTGAAGAATAGAATTGCTTTGAGACGCTTACCAAATTTGATCTGCATATTGAAATATCAATGTGGCATTGATCTGATTATCATAAATTCTAATACTGATTAATTATTTGTATTCTATCACAGTTGAAAATCTTTCTTTTAAGTCTTTTGAGTTTTGTAAGTAATATATAAGTTTGTAATGATTTTATTACTATATAAATATTATGACAATACTCAGAACTCGATTTATAAGACTTTTGTGTAATTGTGCTGTGGTTGTCTTGTTAAGCACCTACTTTTTATAGTTTTTATAGGTCTGCATTAGTGCCATAACAGTGAAATTCCAAGCAGTTCTTTAATTTTTAACTATAATTTTGTTTTGATTCAGAGAAATTAGACTCTAAGTAAGGCAATGGCAATAAAAATATGATTATTATAATAGCTTTTATTTTTCTTTAATTATTCGAATAATTCGAATAATAGAAAAAAAGTCGAATATTCGAATACCAAAAAATTTCGAATATTTGCAAGCCCTACTTGCGTTCTTTTTACTTTTGGTGCATAATAATGCCTAAATGTGGACAAACATTGAAAAGTGGAGCCCGTGAGCTAATCATCAAGCTGCAAGAATTCCACCGTATCATTGCCAATATAACGCGATTGAGCTAATCTGGGCTCAAATAAAAGGTTACGCCGCCCGCAACAATACTTCCCCGCCATTCAGCATGAAAAAGATGATGACCCTATTAAAAGAAGCCTGCGGGGAAGTCACAAGAGATGACTGGGCAAAGGTTGTTGAGACTGAAAACCTGATTATGGAACATTTTGACCGAGATATCAGGATTGATTCTGTTATTGATAATAATATAGTTATACATGTAGGCGAAGATGATGATGAAGACACCACCTCCTCAAGCGAATCGGAGTCTGATTAATATTCTGTACGCACATTCAATTCAATGTACTTTATTGCATAGAAATACAGATTGTAACTTTGTAACAAAGAATAAATAAAACAATTTTATTATATTAATATTACCTTTTTTTGATTTCCACTTAAATTACTAAAATATAAATTTTAAATGATTCCGCCAATTTAAAACGAAAATAATCTTAAAAATAACGCGGTGGTTCATTTTGGAGGAACGGTAACAATTTCAGTGTTATGTTGTGCCCATCACTAGTCGTGACTAACTGATAGGTGTCAGCAAAGCATTCTCTGAACGGCCGAACTATAACATAACATAAATTAGGCTTGGGTAAAAATATTGAAATTTATCACGATATAAATACCGATACTGCTTAAAAGTATCGGTACGATACATATCGATATATTTTTTTCACTTGACCGGCCCTATTAAGTGAAATCCAATAAGAACAATTTTTTATATGGCAACCTGCAGTCAATAAATTGGACTTGTAAAAGAAGATATAGTTCAATTTAATATTTGTTATGCTGCTTGTGTAAGTAAAATAAAATTCAATAGTCTTTCAGTTTAAATAATTATAATTTACACAAGTTACAAGTCTTTTACAACACACAGAAGGAGAATAGAGTGATAGTTATATGTATAGAGCATAGAAAGATAGCACAAAAACTAAGAGTCTCAAGTGAACGAATTAATTATCCCTTAACCAGGCTATGGATTGAGCATTTCCCACCTAGATTTTTAAGAGTTTTTACCAGATTTTGGTAAAGAATCTACCACAATCTGTCAAAAACGACAATATATCGAGTAAGACCACGCTCTCACACCAACGTAAAACAGCAGTGTTTTGTATGGTGAGTGTAAAGAACCGGAGATTTTTTTTACTAGAAACGAGACATTTTATCTTAGTTCTTATCGGTGACAAAGCACCTGCATTTTGATTCTTAGTCGAGGATATATGAAGATGTCTATACTATCAATAGAAACATTATTTATGGTAACACAAAAAATAAAGTGAAACGGAAGGTTAAACTATAGACGTCCGGTACTCGCTTACGGTGTTGGAGAGGGAGAGGGATGTGAGGGGGTCATGGGAAGCCCCCCCACTCTTCCCCCGTTGCGAAAATCTATAGTTTACGAGTAATAATTTTTTTGTAAAATCGTAACCTCACTTTTTTATACAGGAATATTGACGCAAAGTTACTTCTGCAACGGCTTCAGCACTGCAGGAAGTGCAGCCCCCGCCCGCTGTAGTAAATCGCAGGCACCTAAGCGAGCTGCAGCGGCTGAGGCTGGTCGAAGGCGACCAATAAGCCGAAGCTGCGGAGGCGAGCACTCTCCCTCCCTCCGTGCACTAACTCTCCCTCCGTGCCTACGGCTTTACAGAAACACTATAGGGGTAGGGCAGACAAGACTACGTGGAGTGGGGGTGTGCTAATTCGGTTTTAGAACCGATTCGATCAATCTTATCTATAAAGTCTGGTTGGCCTAACCTCTGCTATGATAGTGATAAATGAAATAATGTAATGTGAATTGTTATAATTTTGTTTTCTGAAAAACCTCTTGACTGCTCTACACTGCGACTCAATTTGTTGTATATAAGTCCCGTCTCCAGCCACAAATGGATTGTCTTGGTCCGAGTGATTAACTTTTTTATAAGTGTATCTGTGTTAAAAAAAAAACAAATAAGACATATTTGCGTTTCGTTATTGCAATTTTTAGTGAAATTTATTTTTATCGTAATTAATTCAAAAGATATTTCCGAAATCCAAAAACAGTGTAAATGGTTCAAGCTTAACCCTGACTATCTTCCTAAATTGAGAACAAAATTAAAAAATTAAGTACCGGACATCTACTTCATAATACGAGAACAAATTGACATTTTTGCGTTTCGTTATTACACAATTTTTAGTGAAATTTGTTTTATCATAATTAATTCAAAACGCATTTCCGACATCTAAAAACAGTGTAATAGGTTCAGCTTAACCCTAACAAGCTCGCTAGACTAAAAACATTATCAAAATCAAGTACCGGATGTCTGTAGCCAACCCGAACCGGTACGCAAATGTCACTTTTGCAGCCATTTCATCTGTGGTCGGCGGCTAAACGAACATTTTTGTGACAAGTGCACCGTATTTTTAATCATTATGGCGAATCGAAGAAAGGTAAGTCGTACAATTTTTTGATATGTTGTAGAATTTGAGTTTTCCTAGTGATTTGCACATTAATTATAAGTAAAAACTTCTAAAATATCATAACTAAATAAAACGTGTGGGGAACAACATGACCTAAGCCTGTGAATGCCTAATTATTGCGGGAGTTATGTCCATTGCCCGCTAAATTAAAATCTTTATTTTATGCTAGGTTTTTGCCACGGGTTTTATTTAGGGTTTACTCACACATCTCATTTATCGAAATATAAAATGTGGGTAGTGGTAAACTTTTGTCGTCATTATTTGCCAGTCTACTTTAGTATATTTTTTGTTATTCAGTTAATAAACGATCAACAGCTCGAAAATATACTAAATGAAGTGTTTTCATCAGAGGAAGAAAATGACGAAGATGAAGACTCATATTTAGATTATGTCCCAAAACCATTCGATGCAAGATTGAATTTCGTTCACGTATCATCCTTGGTAGGAATCGATGTAGGATGGTACGTGAGGCTATTGAAATTAAAAAACATCCTAATTTCAATAGAGAAGGAGGCTGGGTACTACCACCTGCTTGGGATCCTATAATTAATAAAATTAAAACTAAACCCAAGCATACCACTGCAAGACTTCAAAATACAGTTAGTTCATTCTGCGTAGATCGGACCAAAAACAATATTTAAAAAGCTGAAGGTACTCCGGGTTAACTTTGACATCGGGACGTCAGTCACCTCAGTCCCCCGTGACTATGGGTGCTGGAAAGCACCCGAAACGTCGGGTATTAAAATTAATATAAATAAAACGCGATAAAATCCGTAAAAGTAGTTTTAATCAATGTATAGTGTTCGCGTAAATATAAGAAATCATTGAGTACAATTTTGACAAGTTATTAGAACCTACTAAACCATATAGCCAGCAGTGTCTCCCCATTGAATGTTTCAGTAACTTGTTTCCGGATGAGATTATTCAAATGATCGTTGAATACACAAACAAATACGCGAGCATGAAACAAAGCAAATTCTGGAGTGACACCAACGTCAAGGAACTAAAAGCATTCCTAGCTATAATCATCCTAATTTGAATAAATCCTCAGTCCTATATAGAGCTTTATTGGAGCGCAGATCCTTTTTACAATAACATAGAGATTAGTGGTACAATGACTTGCAAGAGATTTAAAAAAAAATTAGAAAATCTACATGTTTGCTATTCAACTGATTCATTTGCCCCAGAATCACAAAAATCACGACAAATTGCAAAAAATAAGACCTCTGTTAGATTGTCTCAACAGAACTTTTCAAGAAAATGCCACCAACTCGGAATCCCAATCAGTGGATGAAAGTATGATCAAATTTAAAGGGCGCGACAGTAAGAAACAGTACATGCCGGCCAAGCCCATCAAAAGAGGGTTCAAGGCATGGTGCCGTTGTGATTCCAAGACTGGATATGTATACCAATTTGATATTTATACAGGCAAAGACAAAGAATCCTATGAGGAAGGATTACGTTACAGAGTTGTAATGAAACTTGGAGGGAATTTACCACGAAACACACATTTGGTTTTTGACAATTTTTTCTCCTCTTTGGCTCTCATGGATGCTCTTTATCATAGATGTATTTTGGCAACAGGAACAGTACGAATGAATCGAAAAGGCCTACCTAAAGATCTGTATCCAACACGACCTAAAACACCTGAAGAACGAAGACAGGGTTAAGAAAATAAATTGGATCCTGGGGAGTTTACATGTCGCTTCTGCCACCCTTGTGCTGTTGTTAAATGGCAAGACACTAAAGAAGTTTTTGTCATAACAACTGCCGTTAACCCAACCAAAGTGGAAGTGATCCAGAGAACACAAAAGAACGGGCAAAAGAAAGACATGTTTTGTCCTACTGCGATCGCAGAGTACACAAGGAGTATGGGTGGTGTGGATCACTTTGATCACTATCGATGTTCCCACTCAATTGGCCGCAGATCAAAAAAGTCCTGGTTCCGGATGTTTTGGTTCTTGTTTATGAGTGCCATTATAAACGCATATATTTTATATAAACTCAATAACCAAAATACCAAACCAAACCAAAATAGTAAAAACATACATCGCGATTACCGATTACGGTTAGCTAGAAGTCTGAAATCGGGCCACATCTTAAACAAGAAACAAGATCCGGTGGTATATAAAAACAAAAAAGGAGGTGTTTTTGGAGTTCCGGACGAAATAAGATTGGGGCAAAGAGGAAGTCATTTTTAGCATTGTCTACATACAAACGGTGCAGATTTTGTAGCACAAGGAAACAAAAAAAAACCGGTCAAAATATAAATGCGAAATTTGTAAGGTAGCATTATGCATCATGCCTTGCATGAAATTGTACCACCAAAATCAGAATCCAGAAATTCTCAAAGAATTAATTGAGAATTTCTGGATCTGAATTTTGGTTTTTGTAGCTTTCTTTTTTCTTGTGTTGTAATAAAATCCGGACGAAGAATAAAAACTTTTTAGTTTATACTCATCCCTTGTAATAGTTTATTGTGTATTTATGTTTTTTTTAAAATAAGGAACAAGTGCTTACATTACCTTTTACATTTGAACAACAAACAGTAAAAATGCTATCAAAATGACAATCGTTTTTTTATTTTATATATAAAGGTAAAAAGTCGTCGTCTAGACAGGCAATGGGATTATGTTTTCCCATATGTTCTTTTTTCAGGTTTTCAGCTAATTTTCTAAATATAATTGATAAAATCTCATATCAAATTTTTTCACTCAAATAAATCTACGAAAAAACATTATTACTGCAGGATTTGTCCGAGGCCTGGCCACAGAATAAATAATAGTACTACGTACAGAAGTTGCACTCATTTGATGTCAACTGCTTGCCGACGTTTAATAGCCTACATAATTATTATTAATCAGATAAATCGCGAACGCAGGCTAAATGAAACTTTATCACTGCGCGTAAGTGTCCATATTACTTTGCATCTTTTCCGCTTCCTAAGTCACGGCGGACTTTCCGTGGTTATTAAGGGATGTCAATAGAAAATAAAAAAATACATTGCGAAATGTTAATTATGTTACTTAGGTGAAGTACCTATTCTGACTATGATCGACTGATCATACTTTCGCCCCTATGTGAGTTCTGCGGTGCCTAACGCATGCAAATTGCAAGGTCATTCGTCGGGAATCGCAACGCTTGGTTCGGAAGAAATACGTAGATAGTATAAACAATAAATAAACCTGAAATACGATTCCTAACAGAAATGTGATCTATTCTACTCAATATCTATAAATCTTCTTAGTATTCAAACTTTTAATTTCAGTATTTTGTGTTATTATTTATTATTGTAAGTAAATACTTGGATAGTGAAGTAAATTTTAACTAATTTTTGTAATAAAGTACTTAGGTATTTCTTCTGTAGATTAAATCATTACTTAATTCTTTTTTGCTGTAAGTACCTATCTAACAAAAAAATTAAATAAATCCACCTTTCATAATTTCCTTCTAAAATTCTTCGGTAACTTAAAGAATGATATGAAACCTTTTGTTGGTCGTTTCATTTAGTATCCATCCACGCAACAGTTATAGTAGGAACGACGTTTTGCTATTATAATTTACCCATACATAATACAGAATGGGTCCCACATATATGCAATAAATGAAACCATATACTAGTTATCGCCTTTGCTGACGATATACAAAAAATGAACGTAATCGGTCCAGTAATTAGGTCAAAAAGTAGAGTTTTAATTTTAAGCAAATTTGAACACTCTATAGAATTGGGTCACTAAGTCAATGATTCAATGAACTTGAATCCTTGAACATTAAAAAGCGACGTTGCCACGCAGTGCAAACTATTGGTATTGCGACATATCGACAGCGGTGTCTTTTGTCGGCGTGCCACCCGCGTGCAACGTTGTCACTCTTCCAAGGGATTAAGGTACGTTGTCTAAACAGAGTATTCACTTTTACTGAATTTATTTTAATATTTATTTTGTTTGAAAATTTCACTTTTTTATTTTACGGGTTTTAATTTAATATTTAATTTTTCTACACTTCTACGGACTAGTATTACTTGTGTGTATCATTTATTGCATATATGTATATAATTTTAAAATACATTAAAACTTTTACAACAATTTTTACCTACAATTAAATATACTAAACAATAAAGAAAAACTGTTTCAACAAGTATTTACATAAAACTGTTTAGGTACGTAAACAGAGTTAAAAAACTTTAACATTCAATCGTCTCCAACGCGCTAGCCCTGACTGCGTTATTTCGCCCGGGCGCATCGCGATTTTAGGTAATTATTTCACGCAGGTAGCAAGAGTGACAGAGGCCTGGCCTGGTAAAGGGTTATAATAACAGTTTCTTATCATGAGTAAACAGTCAACAAACGAACAGTATAGCATATGTAAACGTACTGGTGGCGTGGTGCGAACTATCGAAGCAAGGGCGGCCAGCGGTGAACCGGTTTGCTGTTGTTGAGTCGCCGTTGCACCGACCGCTGCATTAAACAATAGCCACTGCTAATACTTAGTATATATAATAATTTCTGTAGAATGATATGCCCGTAATTATGAATATTATATTGATATAGAAATAATTTAAAATTAAATATTACAATTACACTAAACAATTAACTATTTTACTGCTATTTATAAAGTAATTTACATCAATTAATATTATGTACAACACATCACCTCCCCACCAGAGGTCGTGCCTACGGGCGAAAATAATCAGGATAACATACATGTCGTCCTGATCTTGTCTTTTTATAGCAGTTTTATTTTCTATGTTAGGTGTGTTGGTAGTAGTGCTATGGCTATTTGTGTTGCTAGTGTGTGTAGTTTTGACTATTTCATGTAATATGTATGCAGGTTTAATACGATCTATTGATACAGTGACTGGTTCACCATTAAAAAAAATTGTAAAAGTTTTATCTCCTCTGCTTAATACTTTATGGGGTCCCGAGTATGCAGGCTGTAAAGACCTACGAGCGTCATCCCTTAGGAAAACATGGTCGGTGGTTGCTAGATCCTTAAAGACAAAGACTGAACGACTATTACTATACCTTGACGCTGTAGATGGATGTAAGTTTTTCGTAAATTTACGCAATCGTGTTACATATTCAGTCACATCCGCTGTCCCATCTGCTTGTAGTATAAAAAATTCGCCTGGAAGTCTAATAGCTTCCCCATACACAAGTTCTGCTGAAGAAGCTTGAAAATCTTCTTTACAAGCGCTACGTACACCTTACTATACTAAAGGAAGGGCTTTGACCCAGTTTTCATTTGCATGACAAGTGATGGTGGCCTTCAGCTGTATATGAAACCGTTCAACCAATACCTTGCAAGCCGGATGGTAGGCTGTAGTTTTTCTATGCTGAAATCCTACCGTGTCCGATAAGCGCTTGAATAGCGCTGACTCAAACTGTCCTCCGCGATCCGATATAATGTCTTTTGGACATACGAAACGAGCTATCCATCCGCAGACTAAAGCTTTGGCTACTGTTTATGCAGAAATGTCAACTAACGGTATTTCCTCAGGCCATCGAGCAAATCGATCGATTGCTGTGAGACAATATCGGCACCCTTGCGCTGATGGTAATGATCCTATTAGATCTATGTGAATCTGCATAAATCTGGCACGTGGTAATTTGAAATTGCCTATGGTTGAATTTACATGCCTAGTGATTTTTGCACGTTGACATGCCAAGCACGTTCTGGTCCATTCTCGGCAGTCTATTTTAATTCCTGGCCACACAAATATTTCTCAGATAGCTCAGAGAATGAAGGCTTTCAAAAACTTGCCTACGAAGTTCCTTTGTTACGTATGGTCTCGGTGGATTACTTCTCTCATCGCAGTACAGTTCAGTATGAGTACCTGGAATTTTGAGTTTTTTAAGACACAAAGAAGTATTACCGTTCAGAAATAGCTGTAATTCCTTGTCGGAGGCTTGAGCTTTAGCTAACGCTGTCATATCAATGGGCTGAGTAATGTCTTCAACTCTTGATAAGGTATCAGCTACCACGTTGTTTTTTTCTGAGATGTGTCTTATGTCAGTACTAAATTGAGAAATAAAATCGAGATGTCTGAACTCTCTTGGTGAACAATTTTCTTTACGTGAGTGAAATGCGTAACAAAGGGGCTTATGGTCTGTATAGATAGTAAATTCTCTAGCTTCCAGCATGTATAGATCTAAAGTACTTGATAGCTTCATAGACAGCTAGAAGTTCACGATCATAAGGTGAATACTTTTTTGTGCTACACTTAGCTTTTGAGAAAAAAAAAGCAATTGGCTGCCACGCGCCTTCTTTAAGCTGCTGCAATACTGCGCCGATAGCGGTGTCCGAAGCATCCGTTACTAAAGCTATTTTAGCAGAACAGTCAGGATGTGCTAAAAGCGTAGCCCGGCATAGACTGCTTCCATGATTCAAATGCTTCGAGCTCCTCAATGGACATCTGAATCGGTTGAGAACCTTTAACTGCACCTTTCAAGAGTTCGTTCAGCGGTGCTTTATACTTAGCTGCATCGGGGATGAACCTCCTGTAAAAGTTAAGCATGCCCAAAAATCTTCTTAGCTCTTTGACAGTTTTTGGCTTTGAACCCTCTGCTGAAATATGATAGCCTAAAAATGTAACCCCCTCGACAGCCAAATACGCATTCGGCGGTGTTTATTACCATCCCTAACTTCTTTAGACTAATAAAATCTGACG